ACATGTATTGTTTTATAAACACAGAATAATCTTAGAGTATTTCTTTTCTGGTAAAATAGATTTCTTTTTCTAGGAAATATGTGTGAAGTTTATTTTTAATGCATTTATAGTCATAAAATCCTTGGTGAATTAATTTCTATGATAGTCATTATCTTACTAGTAAGTGTACTTTTTATCTCTTGCCAGTGGACTGTGTCCATAGAATTTAGAAGGTAGCGTTTTTGTGCAACAGGGACAGAATTTATGAGGTGTGGAAATAACAATGGTAATACAGTTTCAAAATCCACTTTCTGCACTGTTGGAGGAAATGAATCAGTGTGTGAGAAGACCTTTCCCCCTTCACAAATCAGCACTACTAAAAAGGGAAGTGAAAAGCATGAAAAATGGATCCAAGTTACCACTCAGCAGTTACTTTAGAAACATGAAAGATTATTTAGAGATGATACCTGCTTATGTATTAAAGTGTGTCTGGTTTATGGGTAGCTTAGTTAACAAAATCTTTATAACATTGTATAATATATGGTCTCTTTAACATATTTAACAAATTATATGGAATGGAAAAGGGAGAAATGAGGTCACTTTTTTGCTCATTCCTATTAAGCTCAAGTTTTTGAGGACTACACATTGCCACTAATGTTAAAATTGCATTAATGTAGGATCGTATTAATTTATAATAGCTTGTCACTGAGTTTTGTCTTATTATAAACATTTTCAAATTTTCTAGAACATTCTAGATTGATCTCCAGAGTTCCCCTTATTTTATTCCTATTTATTTGCCAAAAGTAGGAAAATAACCTGAGTGTAGGATCCACCAAAATACTGTCTTTGTGGTCCCTGAGTTTAGGCCAGGAGCTGGGTCATTTTCCTGGTCTGTAATGTGGCTGGGCCACCATGCCTGCCTGCCTGCCTCCCTCTCATCTCTCCCCTTTCCCTTCCCCTCCCCTCCTTTCTCTTCTCCACACTCCCTGTTGCTGCCCTCTCCTGTCTCCCTCTCTCCATGTGTCTGTCTCTCCTCCAGTATCCCACCTGATCTGTAATGACCCTAGGAGAAATCAAGTCTGAATCTCTCTCCCCTGCTTCTACTCCCTGCATTCGGCCATCTGTGGCTCTCATCTCTCAAACTCATAATCACCCTGAAGGTTATTGGTAAAAGAATGATTGAGAATCACAATATATGCTTACTAGATGTTTGCAACAATCTCAGATTTATTTTCTTGACTCTTCTGAGGCTTCAGGCAGCACAGTGATTGTTTTCTTTTAGGGAGTGTACAAAACCTTGTAATGAGTAGGTTTGGTTCAAACTGCCAGTAACACAGGGCAGTGTAACCGTCTCTGTGTGAAGAGGCCATAGGCTGCCCAGATCTAAAGACTGGGCTTGAGTCTTATCTCTGTAGATGATGGTGACACAGAAGTCCTACTTCTAGTTTTTCCTTCATCTTAGAACCGGTAACAATTCTTGCTTCCGTCATTCTGCCTGGCATAGCTAATGAGTATGAAGTGTTTGCATCTTTTCATAAAAAAGTATTACAGATGTAAGATATGATTTTAAGGCATTGTTATGTTTTTACTTATGTGTGAGTGTTTTAAAATCATCACGTATTCCTTTTTTCAACTTTCTATTTTAGAGCGTTTCAGACATGTTAAAAGAGTAGAATATTGTAAGGAACTCTCA